ATATTCGTTCCAGTTTGAATTTGCCTACATTTTCCCAGCTGGTCTGCACCACTAAATTGACACTAAAAGAAGACGTGGAGGTAAAAGGTTGTGGAAATAAGACATTAAAAATCGTCAGAATGGAGTATGCAAACTTTTTAGTCGGGCGACCAACTAGAGGTTTACCGTCGGGTTTCTCCACAAAGTTCAGTCACGTGCAATGGGGAATACATCAGACACGTAATAACGGCGCAAGCTTCTTTCCACGATGTCGAAGATGGCGGATATGTCGACTATGTTAACAAATGGTGTCATCTTTTCTACGCTCGAACTTACAGACCCACGCCACAGGCTTACCATCTTAAATATCTGTGGTTTCGGGTTTCTATGGTAATGGGTTCCAGTGGCATTTACATAGCCGTTACGAATGTAGTTCAAATATATTGCCTCTAGAATCTGTCCCTAGTGGTCAGTGTTCAAAAAAATTCAGCTCCGAATAAAGATTAATAGTTCATTACTCGTTTGGAAGTGTTTTTTTCTGCCAGGAAGCCTCAAAATCGCTCGTTTGGGGCTTTTAAAGTTCGACGGTTAATTCGGCTCGCTCTCCATAGTGAAGAAATGCGACAAGGCAGGCAGCTTAGGCCACTTTTTTATTTGCCCATATTTTTTAGTGTTTACTGTTAAATTAGCCATTTTTTTAATGTTTACTGTTCTTGAAAAAAATAGTGTTTAGTGTTTGAAAGGTACGGTGGCTCAGAAGGCTCAACGCAAACAAAAAATATACTGCAGCAAATAAAAAATATACTGCAGCAAATAAAAATATACTGCAGCAAATAAAAAAATCAGAACGCAAAGAAAAAATTNCTTTGCTTTAATATGGCGAGGGAGACCGTTAAATTCCATCGCGCCAGTAAAATAAAAGGATTTCTTGGCGACCTCAAGGTTGACTTTTGGAAGATGAATGTCATTGCAGCGTCTAGTCGCAAATGAGTGTAATGAAGTATTTAAATTAAAATAGTTATTCAGATAAGGCGGTACTGAGCCATCAAGGCATTTTCTAGCTAACAAGACAATATGAGAGTTTTCGTCTATTAATCAAGGGTACTAGACCCAAAGTAACATTCAGCTCTTTAGTATCGAGACCAGAATTTGGAAAAATTAACTTTGCAGCTCTATGCTGTAAGCTGTCACTACAGAATTAACTTTACCACAGCCGTGCCAGGCCACCTCACATTAATCAAAAGCAGGTAAAATCATCGTCTTATAAAGGCGTTAAGCAGCAGCCATGGGAATAGAAATTCTCAAACGCCTAAAACACCCAATTTCCTTGGGACCTTATTGATGACGTGCTCAATATGGTTTTTAAAACTCAAGTGCTGATCAATTACAACGCCAAGACATTTGAAAGACTCGGATTTTTTCAAGGAAGATCCATTGTGGGATAAGCTTATACTATCCTCCCGCTTAAGCCGTTGATGTGAGCCATATATTACATATTCAGTCTTGCTCATATTAAAAAAAAGCTCATTTTCTTGCATCCGCGAAGAAATACGGTTAATATCATTGTTTAGGCTTGCTTCTAACTCAATAGCAGTTTTAGGGGTAAAAAAACAACACTGTATCGTCTGCATAAAGCAGAACTTGCGAGAAGCAGATGCAGGAAGGCATGTTTTGTATGTACAATATAAAGATCAGGGGCCCCAAAATTGACCCTTGAGGGACGCCAGAAGCTATATCCAGGGGCGAGGAGAGAGCTTTATCGACCTCTACGCACTGGGAACGGCTTAGCAAATAGCTAGAAAACCAAAGAAGAGTCCTCTTACATATGTCATATCTCTGTAGCTTGTTTAGAAGGATATGGTGGTCTAGCGTATCGAAGGCCTTCTTCAGGTTAACGAAGACCGCTCCAGTGAGAAGACAATTATTCATATTTCTACGGATTTCATCCGCAAAAAAGGTGACAGCTGTTTCAGTGGAGAAATTCTTCCGGAATCCAGATTGACAGGACGACAAGAGATTGTTAGCGTTTAAATAACTAAACAATTGATGATATACGACTTTCTCGGCGATTTTGGAAATTACTAGGAGAATAGAAATGGGACGATAGTTATCCATTTCAGTCTTCTCTGTTACCGGACTTGAATAACGGAACAACTCTTGAAGTCTTCCAGTCGTCCGGCACCACTCCAGATGAAAAGGAAAGGTTAATTATGTGAGTCAGACACTCCGAAATAACCGGGGCTCCGTCCTTAAGTAAACGTGCAGGAATGTTATCCAATCCAGTAGCTTTGTTCACTTTTAGCTTTCTCAACAAATTGTAAACAACATTTGGTCTTACTAAACTTAGCTCGAAGTTTTCGTTTGTAAAAGTAGCTTCAGTATTCTGCAAAGGTGACTGCTGTCGTTGGCAAGATATCTTGGACGATCTTTGAGATAATTTGTCATTGATGGTCTTGACAATTGAGGTGAAGAAGTGATTAAAACTATATCACTACACCACTGTACCAGAAAGTTTTTTCACACAAAAAAAGCAATTCACCAAAAAGAAATAAGTCCAACAGGAAGAAAATCTATGGCTAACTAAATGCGAATAAAACAGCCTGAAAATTGGCTACAAAGAGCGGAAAATGAAATTTTAATGAGAATGATTCTTACCGTCTTCACCACAACGAGAAATCGCGGGAAAACAGACCGTCTCAGAGGCAAGTCGGTTGGTATCTCATCGAAATTTTTGTTGCATGACACATTCCCAACCGTCGTAGCCAACCGGAGTCCACAATCTTAAAGTCTCTATTAGCGCTTCTCGAACGAGGTATAGAACAGCTACGAGACAAAGTTAAGAATGTAAACGTAGGAGTATCTTGGTGACATTGACCTGCGTACTCTGCTAACAACTCAGGTGGAGAACCYTCATGCAATCTCCCACTTCAAAAACGAGACTTTCAATTCTCTTCAGTGTGCTCAAGACTTTGGAACAGCTTCAAAGAAATCTTTAAAGGGAACAACGAAGTGGGGTGCGAAGTACTTCACACATGAGGTCTTATTATCCGGTGCCTAAATCCAGTGTGGAGTTACGGGATGTAGATTTGATGAAACCTCCTCCAGCTGGTAACGTTGATCCCAACATTGAGGCAGCCATGAAGGAATTGGTTGTCAGGTATCGACCTGTCCGGCAAAGGACGGTAAGAAGCGAAACAGCAAAGGACAAAGCAGGAGCCCTGCCGCGAGCTGTATATTCCAGTACGCCATCGTGTGCTAGAGTAACATTCCAAGAAGATGTTCAAGACAATCCAGGGACAGGCAATGAAGAACGAGTCGACCAGGATACAAATATTCCACGAGCTATAGACGAAGTACCGAGAATCACCTTTATTGACGAAAACATGCTCGGAGTTGTCGCAGTTGGTGACGTGACAGACCTCCCCGGGTAAGAGGATGAATTCGACACCGACTCGGAGAGCGATGCGGACAATGATGCAGACATAACGTTCAGCAGATTTGGTCGCTCCATCCGCCATTGTTTCTGCCTTGATCACTAGAAACATCTGGGACTATCAGGACAATCAGGACTATTCGGGTATGGAATATAATTAAATGTTTTTGGCCAGGATGGAGTGACATGTTTGTCATTTTTGTTGACCATTATACATTGTGAGTACTGTAGCTGATCTTATTGGTAAAAGAAATATTCTGATATTGCATTCATAACTACTTAAATTTAAACACTCATTTATGTTAACTTTATCTCTTTTTGTTTACAGTGCAGATACTCCAATGGGACCATCTCACAAAGCTAACCAATCATATTGACTTAACGGACATACGGATTGACAACGGATGATAATCCGTAAATTTGCTTAATTTTACTGTTTATTTCGATGTTCTATCCCATTGGTTGTTTGATTTGAATATCGTAATCTGATTTGTTACTGATATATTCTCGCTAAATGGTCACGGTTAGTGTATCCTCGCTGTAAAAGCGCTTTAAGAATTGAACTGTTATGGGTTATACAAGCCAAATCTCCGGTAGTCTTCAAATATGGTCGATCATAAGTCTGTGGACATCTTTGGCAGTCTTAGTTGACATCTTCGGCCGTCTTTGGACATCTTCGGCAGTGTTCGGATATCTTCGGGAGCCTTCGGACATCTCCGGCAGCTTTCGGATATCTTCCTCACTCTTCGGAAGTCTTGAAATAATCCCTAAGTGTTGGAAATTGGCCAAAAAAATCCTCTTTTATACAATAAACATAGGCCCAACAGAGATATTTCCCCTTTTAGGGCGTAGTTTGTTTATGGGCAAAAAAATAATGTTACAGTGAATTTTTTAATGTTAGTGTTAAAATGGTTAAAGATTAACTGTTTAATGTTATGTAGCCGAAAAAATAAGTGTTATCGAAGTATTCCCATTCAGACCCTCTTTGAACCGGCAGTCTTCAATGCGAACAGCATGGGCGGCGGCTTCACCTTCATCACTACTCAGTGAGATTGCTGTGCTCTGCTTTCTTGCTGACGTTTCCCTCAATTCTATCATTTTGTCGGTATTTCAATTAAAAAGATTTTAATTCCTACTTCCTTTACTTTACCATGCACTTCTATTCCCCCAAAACTTTTCATGGCTTTTTTTAGTATTATTATTTCCTTTCCAGGATCTCACTTTTTCAATCATAGCTGCATTTCATCTTCTTTTTATTCATTAACGATTTTGAAATGCATTAAAGATGTTATTTTTAGCTCCTGCAATAACGCTTGTCATCAAAAATTAATTAGCACCGTATGTTTTCAGCCTTGAAAGTTAAATGTAGTTTTGGACATGGACCCACTATTCTTAGAGTTTTTTTCGACTGGTAAAACGAGAATTGTAGCCTAACAACTGTTGTTATTCAACGGCTCTGCTTTTGGTGCTGACAAACCGAAGCCGTTTAAAGCCAGTTAAAATGAACTAATTTGCCTGAGATTAAATAGACTCAGCTGATTGGTTGCACCATGAAAGATATTTGTATGATCAACACTGCCTTTGTCAATAAGGCTCCTTGAGTGGACGCCGACGAATACAGATGAAAGTAACGTCAAGAAACAGCCTACCATAATTTCTAACAAGACGTCCGAAAGCTAAGGTAAGCGTGGTCATCATCTAATATGATTCACTTGGCCACCTAAGACATCGTTTGGGATATCTTTCTTGCCAAAGAATCCTTTATCGCACTTTGTTTGCGACTTAACACTCAAAAAATTTATTCATGGCTAAGCCAGACTCAATTCCAGCGTTAATTGAAGTTTTTTTATTATGCATTTCAAAAGAGGAGACTGCCCGATGCTTTATCAAGTGATGCCAACACAAATGTTTCTTGCCGTCTTATTTAACAATTTTTAAAAGCCGAAGCTTGTTTTGCTCATCAGTAGCGTAACAACACAATTTTGTTGAAGGCAGCTCTCTGCTTTAAGGTCAACAAGCGAATAGGTGCAGATATCTTGTCGCGTTCTTGTTTTCCTTCCCAAATTTGAATTGCTGAAAGTAATTTTTAACACAGCTTGACTTCTCAAGTTTGATGTATGTATGAACGCATAAACACCACATTTTGTTCGCTAGTTACTTCGTATGTAGTCTACGGAATTTAAATAAATATACATGGTAACATCCAAAATATCCTAAAATACAAATTCTTTGTTCGCCAGAATGTAATCGAATAGAATTCTGGTCAGCGCATTTTGATACCATGAATGGTTATGATTTAGACAAATAGATTTTGTGAGGTACATGTTGAACGCAGCCGGTAATGTATATTGTGAGGACACTATTCAGACTGTCTCTTGTGTTTGGAAAAGAGGAGTAAAATTTACATAACAGTGAAAACACTACCTAAAATCCATTTAGAAAAAATATTAGGAGGGCCTCTCATTGGTTTTCGTCAGCAAGGAAAAATTTAGCTTCACATTTTTAATTCGCTTTTGTGCTCGAATTAAAAAGGTTAAAGCGTTTTTTTTAGTCCTGACGTAATTATCAGTATGTAATTATGGTTTCCTCACTTTCATTAATTTCGGAAAATTTGTATCTTACTGTCAAAAGAAGCTAAAGAAATATAACGAAAAATGAAATTTCTCCAGAATGCCTGATATCTTCTGTTATGTTGATAGGCTGTGACTCTCAATCTGCTATTGTTGTTATAATGACATTTTCTTTTCTTTAATTTGGACGTGAAGGTTATAGCGCCAGAATTGAAGGATTAACAATAACAGCAACATCATTTGCCGAATTGAATGTTCTCCGCCGTGCTCGTCGCAGAATTCTCGAGTGTCGTCAGAAAGTAATTTAATCGATCTTTTTCGTAAAGCAACCCAAGCCTCAGTTCACAAAATTCATTTCAGGAATAGGTACTATTTGTTGCCTTTTTTTTTTTTTATTTTCACTCTGGACTATATCAATTTCCAATATACGCGCGTTTCTCCGGCATAAACGAATGGTAGGCCACTGTGAAGCTTTCCCTCTCTCGTAGTGCTAAGTATGTTCTCAATCTTGGTTTTTTTTTTTTAATCTACATGAAGTATATGATCTTTGTTAAACATTAAAATCGTTACGGAAAGGGCCCCTACTTACATGTAACATGAAAGGTTATTAACATATTTCACGCGACAAAATCTCCTCTTTGACACCGTTAGTCAAGTGATAGATACTCTCTGATATCTAAAAGTGACTGTTGATAAAAGATTTAAGACCTGACGGTCCTTTGCATTTTGTTACATTTAGTCTATTGATTTATGGAGCATTTGAGAGGCACGATAACTATGTCCACAATGATTCATACTCATGACAACTTTAACAGTCCTGGAACATGTTTGAAACCCTTTTGGATGGCATTAAATTTTTAACTCGACCACAAGCTACATGTTAACCCGGGTTGGATCCCTACGATGGATAACCTCTTGCAATCAAATGTTTTTGAGCGTTCACCTAAAAAAAAGAAGAGAATGCAGGTCAGCCCTCCTTGTTGACCCTGCTAGGAGGGGCGACATTTTATCAATTATTTTCTCTTGATGATTCTCATTGCATTTTAACTCTTCATATGACCTTTACAGCCGGTAGAAAGGCTACCCCTTGTAAGGCTCGGTGCTAACTGCATGGCCACAGAGTATGACTATCTCGGCCCCGGTTTATGAAAAGTTTATACTTCTAAAAATACTTTTATGATGATGCATCCCAAGGTTACAAATAAGTCCGAGCTCGCGTATTGAAGTGTTTTAAGGTGTGTCTTGCAAACAACAATTCGCTCAGAGTTCCCTTGGTCTCAAAATACACAAATTTAACCTGTTAGAGTTTTCCTCTTTTGTTTCGTGCCATGTGAAAGCTATAGATCGTTTGCCTTTCTTGTTTTCAAGACACATCCTTAAAAGGCTTAACTTTTTTTTTTTTTACAAACAATGTCATTCGCACGCCTCATAGTCTTATGGAAAAGATGTGTTTTTACATTTATGCCTAAAAGGACAAACTAAAACACAAAAACTTTGTGATCTTTTAATGAAAAATATTTCATTCAGTGGTTTAGCGTATGGCAAGCATATACGATTTCTTGATTGACTGTTTTTACCGAAACAAGCCACACACTCTCATATCACGTTCCTTTTCAAGAGAGAGAAGCTTGAATAAGTGCCAAATTAGTTTTAAGGCACTGACTGGCATGTTGCCAAGCTATCTCTCTGAAAAGTTTCAAAGATTCAATAATGTTCACTCGAGGAACACACGAAACTGTTACAGAAAGTTAATTGTACCTCGAGTGAAACGCTGATATGGGCACTCTACAATCGCGGATCGCACTTTTACTCATGCTGCTACTAGCACCCTAGCTACTTTTAGGAAACAACTCCAAGCATTTCTTTTTAGGAAAGCGTTCAGTACTAGTTTATAATACTTAATAGTAATCTAAAGCGCTTTTGAATACGTGCATAGTTTTTAGCGCTATATATATGTTTTTTTTCTTCAGTACTCGAGAGACAATGTTCTTTGAAAGAATAGAAAATTTTGGTATCTATCGTTTTTATAGCATAAATAAACATATTACGCATCGTCTGAGGTCAATTCAGTTTCCAAGCGAATACTTCATAAGGTTAAAGAGCCCGCATGTAACTAGTTATGTCATAAAAGCAATAAAACGCATTCTTTTCCGAGCACCATAACGTGATAAGGCCACGCGGGATGTTGGGAGAACAGTTCAAAAGCTTATAAATCACGAGCCGCTTTCCTCGTGTTCTCTCAACATCCCGCGTGGCTTTATCACGTTATAGAGTCCGGAAAAATGTGTTCTATTGCTTGAAAAAAACAAAAACAAAAACAAAAAACACGAAACCATACACAAAAAGGAAAATTACATGTTATGTAAATATAACTTAAATTTGAAAAGAGGGAATGATATATATTATAACTTCTAAATAAAAACAAAGTCGGTATGTATAAAGCGAGCAGTAGAAGCGGAGAGTATGCCAAATTTGAAATCCTCAAAGTAGTCTCTGGTGTGTACGCGTTTTTTCAGATTACTGAGACTCGAGCGTCCAACTTCTTGTTCATAGTAGCGCTCAGTGTTCCTTAACACAGCGCCGCAATGTTTGGAACCTACATGGTTACTGTTTAAAGGTCGCGTCCCCTCAGAGAGTAACCATTTGTGCGACATTTAAAGATGTTTTTAGACAGCGAGTCGAGGAAAGAGGCATTATAGCCTTTTTAAAAGCTCAAAGATGTCTAATTTATGATATAAAGAAAGTGTAGGCCACTGTTCGTATCTTAACACATAAGATGATGTTATATCTTTAGACAGGTTAAATATAATTCTGGCCACCTTGTAATGAAGTCTTTTTATTGAACCGGATATATCAGAATTACTAGAAGATCCGAACAGAACTAAACTAAATTTTACAGAAGTCAAAATTACTTCAAAATAAAATTATTTCAATACATCCTTTGGGAGTAATCTGGATCGTTTTAGCAAGTTTAATTCATTAGTAAAGTTCGTTTTGGTTTACAGTACATTCGGTACCCCAGCTGAGTTACTGGTCAACTTTTTCAGAGATTTACTTTATTTATTTGCGTTGTCTTCACGAACCATACTTAGACTAGCTGCAGTAAGACACCTTTTTTACTTATTTCCTAATTTAACCGGTTTGAACTGATCTATATTCAGACAAAGTCGATTATGTGAGAAAACATTACATGATAATAACTAAGTGCTAAAAATTACCATATGAAACGAAGGGTACGACAGTTCCGTGCAGTTCACATTAAAAGATCAAAACTTCGTCTCATGGTTAGTTGCCGTGATCCACAGACCAGACTTGAACACAGGTATGATCGATATCTTACCCTCAGCTCCAAGCTTGGCCATTGTTTGATGATTTCTTCTCTCATCGTGTAACGGCTGCCACGCTTTTTGCCTGCTGTTAAGAAGACGTTAACAAACTTGTGCGCGCGCGACTCGCGTGCGCGTGCTTTGAGGTTACGAAGTAATCTCGTAAGCAAATCACGCGGACCCTTTTTAATGTTGACGTGTGCGATTTTTAGAGAAGAGTAGTTCAAGTTTTTTTTTTGTTTATCGTTTGGTTGTTGTCGTTTGCCGTAAGACTACAGTTTTCTGTGTTAGAGTAAGTGTCTGTTTGGATTTCCCGTGTCGCTTCCGAATACCTAACTTATATTGAAGTTCGTTTTGGTTCAATTCTTACAAGCGGGACTGTTATGTAAGTGCTAATGTTCCTTCCTTGAGCTTATATATAGTTTTTTGTGAGTTTGTTTGAGTTTTTAGCTAGCTTTGCATCTTGCGTTTATATCGGAATGTTTGGAATGTTGGTTTGTCTATTCGCATTTAGCTTAGCTTCTTCCTTATAAATTCATATTTCAGTTTACGATAAGTACTTGGATACCACGACTACGTTAAATAAAACGATTCAAGGCTTTTCCGTAAAATATATCTTCGCTTCATAGTGTGTCTTCATTTGCGAAACTCATAGTTGTCGTCGAAATTTTGCTTCGCTTGTGTCGGCCGCTACATATCGATTCTTCTGGATGTCCAGGCAAGTCTTGATGATCTTGAAATATGCCCTTCATTATATTTCCTTTTTTTGTCTTATCAACTGACCTAGATAGCCATTTGCAGTGTCACCTTTCCAGAGTTTCTCTCATGTTTCCCATGAGGTGAATAAACTAAACGTGCAAGGCTTTATTTAAATTTGACATAACGTATGTTTCAGTGCGTTGATTCTGTTCTGATTTACTCATCATAATATTTTTTCGGCCATGCACACGGCATAGTCTTACTGAACGGTGCCATCCAAGTTGGAAAAGAGCACCAAATTATCCTAACGCGAGGTTTTTAGAATGTTGAAACAATTCACGTTATCATTTCAAGACTCTACTGATTCATTGAGAAAAGGGTGAGCGATAGTTGACTCAAGTGTAGAGCAAATGAGGAGAGTAGCACAAAAGTTTTTGCGGTCAGAACGTTAAAATTCTGCTGCCAACTACATTTTTGAAAAGCTCCTCTTTCAAGTGCACACACCTAATTCGTGTAAGCAGATCACTGTATCTTCGAAATGTTCGCAGAACACTGGAACCGATCCTATATCAGTTTTCATTACTTTAATTTCTTTCCGTGTCATACCTTTCTTGGCCATGAAAATTATGCTGAAACACTGGAGCATCAAATTACCATGATAAAGCTTTCAATTTGACCAAGTAAAGTTTTGTGGACCAAGCATATTAACGAGAACAACAAGCGAAACAAAGTGTTGCTAAGCGATCCACTAGGCTGCCGGATGATATTCAATCAAGGTACTTAATGTTTTTTTTTTATTCAAACAAGCAGCCGCACTCGGTCACCTCATCAAAGATCAAACTTTCAAAAAAGAAAACTCACGAGATCACACTTTCATGTCCTGTATTTTTCCAAACAATGTCATGTCGAGTACAATTGAAATAACACAGGGGGATTGTCGCCCTTTGTCATCAGCTATCGGCTAAAACCATTCTTCATTTTGATCGGTAATATATATATTTTGCTCCCTCTTTTTGTTGTAAACGTTTGTAGCTTTGTCCGTTAATAGAACTGAATGTTATTTGCAAAGGAGGGTGATTTAGTCAGTTCTCAAATCACCACATTTGCGCTTCATCTAACAATCAGGGCAAATATTTTTTAAATTTCTTTATCTCAAAACCGGTAGAGTCTAAGTATTTAAAAAGCATCCGCAGAAAGGTCACGATGGCCAAAATAGTGTTTGCTCCTGGCTTGTTGATATCCAATCAAAACTTTCCAAACGTAACCATATGTAAATTTCGGAGTGGTCACGTGAACAAAACAATTCTCATCTCAGACTCCCTCTGCAGCTCTTGACCTGTCGTTTCGACGAAGGTGCAGTTCAACTCTGACGATAATTTTGTTCTTTTGAAATAGTCAGAGGGATACATACGATGTCAGAAACGAAAAGAAAAACTTCCTGATGACACAGTTTGAATATTTTACCTTTCTGCTGAGCAGAGCATGAATTATGGTCGAGGATTGTCCAGTTGTTTTGGTAGTTCGTGAACCCGAAAAGTTTTAGAATTGGTTGCTACGGTCCTTAGTAATTTTCTCCGCGTATTGTTTAAAGAATTTTCATGAAAGGACCCATGTTATCTTACCACAAAAACTTAGTCCGACCATCCATTCTATTCAGTCGGTGATCATGTCAGCGCATACTGACTCTGCTGCTTTCAACAGAAGATCTTCCACACCATCGAGACGAGCTTGGGAAGAAACAGTAGAGAAACCACCGGCAGGCGACTCACAGAACGATCTAAACAAAAATGTAGCAGACGGAAATAACTCTGTCTCTCAAGAAAGAACTGGCAGTGAAGGACAGAAGACAATGACAAGTATGGAGAGTAACGGATCAACTGAAGTTCGACTTCGCTCTGTGGAAGTTGGTGTCGAGGAGAACGCCAACTTCAAAGCGAGTAAAAGTGAAATCGCTCAAAAAGATACTACGACGAACGGATTCCCGGACGTAAACGTTAAAAATGGAAAAAAAATTGATTTAAAAGATCCCGAAGCGTTGAAAGGTGATCATGTATGCGAGGATTCCTGTTGTGGTGACTGGACGTTATTTACGCGGGTTTTCAAGTCGAAGAGATTCGAATCGGAAAAGCTCGAGGGCCTTTATCAACGTTATGTGTTTCGCCTGAACCAAAAGTTCATGAGCTGGCTTATTGGATTGCTACTTATCTTAACATTCATTCTCATAGGTTTACAGTTCGGTATGGAAAATAAGATGCAGCCAAAGAATAATGCCGAAGGCATTACTCTATGTATATTTGCCGTTGCTTACATCTTGCTGGCTTTAATTGTGAACAGAAGTGGTTCCTCACAGAGCCATTTGAATTGGGTTTCTTATATTTTGCTCGCCATATCTTGTGGATTTGTTCTAGCTTCAGTGGTTTGTCCTCCTTCAGAGGATGCAGATCCAAGCCACCACAAAAGCCTTTATTCGCCATCAGATGGCGTATGGCTAACAACTTTCTTCGTCTATATGACTTACACCATGTTGCCAGTAAGGATGAGAATCGCCGTCTTCGGTGGTTGCCTTCTTCCTGCGATACATCTTATTTCAAGCGCTGCGATGAATAATAAGGACCCAAACCTTTCAAGATTGGTAAGCATGATTTTTGTATCTGTATTATATATTGTTAATTTTCTTGTTTTTAATTACGGGTTTCATGATTTGTGGAGTGCCTTGCAATCTAGCAGCTTCCCGAACATGTCTCGCTGCATAAATAATTTATGTGTAATGTTTACTTTGCGAGGAAAACTTAATGTTTGAACTTATGGAAAATGTATTTTTAAGAGCAGTTTTTATACCCTTGCGTCTGCAAAGCTTTTGGACGAGAATAATTTAGTTCTTAATACATCTTTCCCTTCCTTCACATACTGCGGATTTGAAAATTCATAAACGGATTCCAATTCTCTCGCATTGCTTATTTCAAGTGCAGGTGAAATAGCCACATATTTTAATTACAATAAACAGCTGGTTAAGGTCGTAAAGAACATGCGCCTCTTTTTTCCATTGGTACTTTTATTGCAATTAGGGTGTTAATTTATTAAGAAAAGCGCTTGATTAAAAAAAAAAAAAAAAAAGAAAAGAAATAGACCTCACAAAATTCCTTTATGTTTATAGAAGTAGCCAGGACTAAGGGCAATTCAAGCGCAGTTATTTTGTTTCTTTGTTTTGCTCAGCATTTGCCCTTTAATTAGCCTTGCTCACACTTGTAAACAAATTATTTCAAACATTTACTCGAAAACTTCAGAATTCTTTTGTTGTTTAGCTTTATCTGTTCATGAGGATGGTGAAGAACATATCAGAAGTCTTTGTCTAATGGTATTGAGTTGTTAGTGTGAACCAGGCTCATGATTAAAAAGACTGATTTTACTATCTTAATGAAGTGATGATACTAACTACTCAAAAACTGAGAATAAAGTAGTTATTGGAAAATCTTAAAGCAGGGGCCTTGCCAACATTAGTACAGCTTCGAGATTTTCTAGGTACACCACCATGTCTGCAAATTTAACATCAGCCACCCTTAATCGCCGACGACGTAGATGGCTTGGCATCTGTCCAGCTCAAATTTGCCTTGGTGGCATCTGGATCTACTCTAGCCTTTTTAGAGGAAGCATTTTCACTTTGTCAATCAAACGACGAAACAACACTGGGCTTGGTAACCATTCCATTTGGAATGTTTCCGGAGTTGTGGTTGTGTTTAAACGGTCAGGAATCCCAATATCCTTTCAGTGTAAACGCCTACGAATCGGAATACTCCAAAATTGAAGAAGCCGGAAACATTTACGAATCCGGAGAACTCTCCTCTAGTGTAAACCTAGTCTAAATGGGTCCCAAAAATGCAGAATTTGTTGTGTTACATCCAATGATACATGCATTTACCAATTTGTTCATCAGGGTCAAAGTTAAGTCAGTAAACTATCACATATTTGGTTAACAAAAAGTGATTGTTTATGGCAAAAAAGACTTGAAAAACTATTTGGGCATACTAATGTCAAATGGCTCTGCAATGGCGTGGCTTGAAAAATGTAAGCTACAGTTGCTCTCAGCTTCATCTAGAACAACCCTCATGCTTCTCTTATTCTCTGAAAACTTCTCTTGTGCATCTAAACCACAAGCAAGAAAAAATTTAATTTCACTGTCACACAGTGAAAATTAACATTAAAGGTGGCTTGTCTCACATTGAACCTTGCATCTTTAAAATGTGTTATCTTGAACTTCTCTCAAGAGTTGCAATAACAATTTTAAATTTTTTACATTTGTTTGTTCCTTTTCAATTCACAAAACTTTGGAAACTTTGCAAATTCACACAATTTAATACAGTGTAGCACTTAACAGACAATTCACAACACAGCTGAAACAAGTTTATTTCAAATTCAAATGGTGTCTGATTTACCTGGCAATTTGTTCCCATACTTGAAACTGGTTAGCTCAGATGACTACCAGAAACTGTATAATATTAATCCAAGCTGTAATAATTATTCGATTGAAAAGAAATACTTTTATAATTCGAAATCAGAAAAATGCAAATCAAGTCTTTATCCCATAGCAAATTCAGAAAATGTGATTGGAAACTTACTTCTGTGGTGGGTCTTTAAAACAGTCTCATTCTACCAGTGAGCAGATTCAGTTAAGCAGATATTTTAACAGACTATAAAAACAACTCCTCTCTCTTTTTGATTCTTGTGAAAAACTGGTTTAACCCATTAATAGCCGCAGCTATTGTGAAAAACTGCGTTTTGAAGCTAGTCGAGCAGATTTCAGGTTACTGTTGTGGTTTCAAAAGCTCAAACTTACCACAAACCCATTCACAGTATGTACACTCGACGGCCTTTCGATCCAAATGCAAATGGTATCGTTTGTAAGAAATTTTCAACCTGTTCAAGTACGTGCTCAAAGTCGTGCTCCAGGGTTAAATGTGATGACGTCACAAGGCGTAGAAAGGGTGTGGTTCCACATGGGCGCCAACGGGGGCACTGGACATCAATAGGTTAAACATAATAAGCTAACACTTTTAAATCACTTTGGGGAATTGATGTCAATCACAAGTCTGTCATGAAAAGACAACACCTATTTGCTGCCCATTATAGGAATGCTTTTCTGTAGATTTTTGCTTATTCATCAGTACTACCGTATTAACAGCTTTCATCAGTACTACAGTACTAACAGTACCTATTTAGCACACTCTTCTCTCTCAAGTGAGCACAACTCTCGAGCGAGCATGAATACCTACGTACTAGTGTACTAACTTCAACTCTCGAGCAAGCATGAATTTCTACATACTAGCATACTAACTTCAACTCTTGAGCGAGCATGAATACCTACATACTAGTATACTAGTGTACTAACTTCAACTCTCGAGCTAGCATGAATACCTATGTACTAGCGTACTAACTACAACTCTCAAGCAAGCATGAATACCTACATACTAGCAACTCTTGAGCTAGCATGAATACCTACGTACTAGCGTACTAGTATACTAACTACAACTCTCGAGCAAGCATGAATACCTACGTACTAGCGTACTAACTTCAACTCTCAAGCTAGCATGAATACCCGCGTACTAGTGTACTAACTACAACTCTCGAGTGAGCACGTACTAGCATACTAACTACAACTCGCTAGCGAGCACAAGCGTACTAGTGTACTAGCCAGTAACAACAACAACAACAACATCAACAACAACAACAACTTTATTTTGCACCCTGAATTAAATTAAATTTAAATTACAAAAAAGTAGTAAAGCAAATAACATAGAGTTTATGGCTGCCCAAAATAACCACCAGGCTAAGAGCAGCTAGCTAGCTGTCCTTAGGATTTTAAATACTGTAGTGACTAGTGGTGTCAGGTACTTAAGACTTCTTAAAGTAACACATACAACAACACAGAAACACACTGACAAAAACTAGTTATAAGCTATAAATACAAATTAGCGAAATTAGGCAGGAAAATAAAGTAAGTCTAGGCAGATTAACTAATGGAAGGAAAAAAATGTAGAGTGTAATAAGGTCAGTTAGTAACTTGCAAGAATAAATCATCTTAGC